AGCCGAACCGGTTTGGCTCAGTGGATAGAGCGTCGGCCTGTGGACTCAAGGGTCCCAGGTTCGATTCCGGTCAAGGGCATGTACCTTGGTTGCGGGCACATCCCCAGAAGGGGCATGCAGGAGGCAGCTGATCGATCTCTCTCATCGATGTTTCTAACTCTCTGTCCCTCTTCCTTCTTCTCTGTAAAAAATCAATAAAAAAATATATATTTAAAAAATATATTTTTTATTGATTTATTAATTTTTTTGAGAGAGAGAAGGAAGGAGAGGGAGAGAGAGATAGAAACATCAATGAGAGAACCATCCATCGGCTGCCTCCTGCACGCCCCTGACTGAGGACCGAGCCCACCACCCTGGCATGTGCCCTGACGGGGAATCGAACCAGTGACCTCTGGGTGCCTGAGCTGATGCTCAACTACCGAGCCACACCCACCGGGCAATGTCGGCTTTGAATATCTGTTACAAACATCGTCAGGCGGCTGGTGGGAAAGAATCTTTCCAAATTGCACGGAGGGGCTGCATGGGCAAGGATTCACCCAGAGAGAGAAGGTGGACTTTGCAGCCGGCCAGTCGTGGGTCACAGCCTGTCCCTGCCTGGACTCACACGCCTGAAAGGGCCCCGTGCAAACTCCTCTGCCGCAGCATTCTTCACACGGCAACGACCCGGGTACGTGTCCGAACATGGTTCTATGACGCTCTCGGCGAACGGGGATGGAGTGATCTCGGAAACATTATCAAGGGACAGGAAACCAGGCGGGAGTGTTAGATGTTTTTGTGCATGTGCCTGAATACACACATATCTGGGAAAGGGTGATCACAATCTCGGCGGTGACTGAAACGTATTCTGTGGTTTCTATTAATACAGACTCATGGGTCTTGCTTACACAAATTAGATTATATAACCAAATAAGTGTTACCTAGGATTAAATGCAGATTTATAACGTGAACATAAAAACGTGACCTCTCAGTATGTTGCTGCATAGCCCGGCCAGCGTGGCTCAGTGGTTAAGCATCGACCTATGAACCAGGAGGTCACGGTTCAATTCCCGGTCAGGGCACATGCCCGGGTTGCGGACTCGATTTCCAAGGTAGGGCGTGCAGGAGGCAGCCGATCAATGATTCTCTCTCATTGATGTTTCTCTCTCTCCCTCTCCCTTCCTCTCTGAAATCAATAAAAAAATATTTTTAAAGATAATAAGTATGTTGCTGCATAAAACAGGTATAGTGTAGATTGTCTATTATACTCAAATTTGGGTCCACTCTTATTGGAGGAAATGCTATAGGTCAGGATCCAGGTGCATGGAAATTAATATGTAATTTTTTTTATTTTTTGGCATTCACATCCACAGACTTCCTGAATTCGTGTGCACACCCATTGGGCCTGGATTCGGGACCCTGGGGCGGTTTGAGAACTGCTCCAGCTCACTCCGGGCACCGGGTAGACAACAGGCACTCAGGACTGATAGAGGTAGTTAGACAACGAGAGAGCTAGCTGGTTACCTGGCTACACCAACACCAAGAGCTAACTAGCTGAGCTAGCCAGGAAATTAGCTGCTTAGTGGCTTAGCTAGTTAACTACTAAACCAGTTAGCCACTTAGCCAGCTAAGCAGCTAGTTAGCTGGCTGGCCGGTTACTTAGTTGGTTAGTAACAGGGCTGCTTTCAACTCCCTGACAGCTTGTGCTTCTCCAGCAGCGCAGGGTGTGGCCACCACAAGCTGCCCGGCTCCCAGGTGCCAGGCTTTTCACGGGCGGAGGGTGGGTGGCCAGCCGGGAGCAGAGCAACCGGTTTGCTGGGTGCTCGGGGAGCTCCGGGCTCCTCTCCGAGGGCGGGGCGGCCGGACCACATTCCCTGGGAGGGTATCTCATGGCTGCTGGCGCCCCGGCCCCCACTCCTGGCTGGCGGACGAACCCACTCCCCATGCCACCCTCCCACCCCAGCCCCATCCTGCCAGCCACACCTTGTCGCCTGGGTGACACCTCAACAGGAACCTGAGCCGGCTGCCAAGGCCAGGGCCAAAGGGCAGAGGCTGCTGCACCCAGACAGCATGAGGGGGAAGCTGTCCAGACGGGTCTGGAGTGGCTGTCCCAGCACCGGGGGGCCCTGAAGGCAGCCCCGTGGGGCCCAACTCCCGCCTCCACCTCTTCTCAGCCCAAGACTCTCCCCAGTCTCGGTTTCCTCCTTGAGAAACTGGGGGTGACACTCCCCACTTCATTACAGAGTCTGCAGGGATTAAGGGAGATAATGAATAAAAACCAGCCGGCCCAAGGCGGGGCCCATTAAGGCACTCGCACTATTACCCTGGGACGCTCTTACCCATCCACCTGGGAGCTAGGCGCTCGCTCGGCCCCGGGGGTGTCTAGCTGTGTGATTTCACACAAGGGGTGTGCCCTCGCTGAGCCTCAGTCTCCACTCCTGGAAAATGGGGCTTTTCACACCACCACCTAGTCCTAGAAGGACTCTAAAAGTAAAGGCCCAGCCCTAGCTGGTGTGGCTCAGTGGATAAAGCATCGGCCTGCGGACTGAAGGGTCCCGGGTTCCATTCCGGTCAAGGTTGCGGGCTGGATCCCCGGTAGGGGGCGTGTAGGAGGCAGCCGATCAATGATTCTCTCTCATCATTGATGTTTCTATCTCTTTCTACCTCTCCCTTCCTCTCTGAAATCAATAAAAATATATTAAATAAATACATACATAAATAAACATAAAAGTGAAGGCCCACAATGCACCTCCCGGTGTCCCACAGAGCAGGGAGCACCAGGAGTGTTCAACAGACTGGTGCCCTCCCTGCCCCAAGCGTCCCAGTCAAGGACGGTGACCCTGAGTGACTCTTAGAGGCAGAAACCGGATTTCTGGGGCCCCAGAAGCCCTACTTTCCACCGGGAAACACTACCTCCCATCACCAGTGGCCTGTCAGCAGATATGTATTAAGCACAGCCTGGGCTTAACAAGCAGGCCACAGCTTGCACTGCACTTCTTTTTCTTAATTTAAAAATTTTTTTATTTTAAATTGATTTCAGAGAGGAAAGAAGAGGGAGAGAGAGAGATACAAACATGAATGATGAAAGAGAATCATTGATCAGCTGCCTCCTGCACGCCCCACACGGGGGATCGAGCCTGCAACCCGGGCATGTGCCCTGACTGGGAATTGAACCGTGACCTCCTGGTTCATAGGTGGACACTCAACCACTGAGCCACGCCGGCTGGGCACACTGCACTGCTGACATCCAGCTAACATACACCTTGCCCTTGTTGAGTCTCATTTTCTCCTCAAATGGGGCCGGGAACAGTGCTCCCATAGAGGGATGTTGGGAGCCACCCACAAATTCATGTTGCAAGTACAGAGCCAAGCATGGGCCCCGGAACACCAAATGTGCATGATACGTTAGCTGTTAACTTCTGCTGGGCCAATGGCTTCTCCTCTCCAAGCTGTGGGAGAAGGAGGGAGAATCCCTACCTCACAGCCTTATGTAGAGAGGGGTCAACAAGAGCAGATGGGAAGGAAGTTTACAACAGCACCCAATGGGAAACCAGGCGCTCACGAAGTGCAAGTGATACGATTAAGGCCCAACTCACTTCCCATCTGGGCTTCTGGAACCTTTCGTTTCACTTCCACTTGTCGGGTCCCAGCTCTCTGGTTCCTGGGCCACAATCGTAGCTCAGGCCTCACCATTTGTTTACCCCTGAACTTTCCCAATGGTCTTCCTACTGCAGTAGACAGGACGTGGTGTTTGGAGTCAGATGACCTGGGTTCAAGTCCCAGTTTATCCCGTTACTAGCTCTGGGGCTTTGTCCACGTCCTGGCCCCTCTCTAAGGCTCAATTTCCCCACCGGAAGAATGGGGGTGATAGCAGATACCTTACCAGGCTACTGAGAGAGTTCAGAGTATTTATTAAGAGGCAAAGGTGGCCCAGGCCGGTGCCTCTAAGTGGTTAGAACGTTGGCCTGAGCACCGAAGGGTCTAGGGTCCAATTCCCGGTCAGGAGTATGTACCTGGGTTGCAGGTTAGATCCCCAGCCCTGGTCTGGCATGTGCTGGAGGCAACCAATCGCAATGTGTCTCTCACATCCGTGTATCTCCCTCCCTCCCTCCTTCCACTCTATCTAAAATCAATGGAAAAATATCCTCGGGTGAGGATTAACAACAAAAAGAGGCAAAGGGTGGCTCGGTGTTGTGGGTGTCTCTCCGATCTCCCTGCCTTTGGTGAGCAGGGCAGGGCTGGGGCAGAGGCCCCCTTCCCAGGGCCTACAAAGGCGCGTGAGGAATCAGAAGAGGCCAGTGCAGCCTGGGGAAGGTGTCAACCCCATCCAGGGTCAGACAGCCCCCGATTCAAATCCACATCTGCCACCATACGCTGAGGGGCCCTGAGCCAACCACTGGCCCCTGCCAGCCTCAGTCTCCTCCTTCCCAATCAGGAGTCAAAATTCATAAAAATATCTAATCTTGCTCGGCCGGCATGGCTCAGTGGTTGAGCAGTGACCTATGAACCAAGAGATCACGGTTCGATTCCCGGTCAGGGCACATGCCCAGGTTGTGGGCTCAATCCCTAGTGGGGGGTTTGCAGGAGGCAGCTGATCAATGATTCTCTCTCATCATTGATGTTTCTGTCTCTCTCTCCTTCTCCCTTCCTCTCTGAAATTGATAAAAATATATATTATTTTTAAAAATCGAATCTTGTGCTTTGTGACCCTTAATAGGGTGGATATTGGGGCCAGTTTATTCATTTTCATATTTTTATATAGCGCATCATTTATTGAAAAAAAATTTATTACTCTCAGTGAGTTTTTGTAGCTTTTTAAAAAGATAAAACCAGCACTTTGCCTTTTAGGCTTTTAGCTAGGCATTTTTAAAAAATATATTTTTATTGATTTCAGAGAGGAAGAGAGGGAAGAAATAGAAATATCAATGATGAAAGGGAATCATTGATTGGCTGCCTCCTGCACACCCCGCACTGGGGACCGAACCGGCGACCCGGGCATGTGCCCTTGACCAGAATCGAACCTGGGACCCTTGAGTCTGCAGGCTGACGCTCTATCCACTGAGCCAAACTGGGTAGGGCTTAGCGAGGCATTTTTATGATTTCTTCTGTGTGGCCACTTTAAATGAGCAAAGCTGTGAGACCCCAGCCCTCCAAGCTGGTGTTTGGAGAATAATGCCGGGGCCAGCTGTCTGGGTTCAAATCCTGACAGGGCTCCATCATGTCTGTGTGACCCGGGACCCGAGACACTCAACATTCCTGAACATCAGGCGATAGAGGCGAGCTGACAACCCCCACACAGCACTCGGAACAGTCCTCGGCACAGCGTAAGTGCTGGGTCAATATTTGCTAGCCACCCACCATGATTACTCTTCACTATTATTCTCGACATTCCTTGTCAGTCTCTCTAATCCTGTTTGCTCTGAACAACGCTCTGGCTGCCCTTTAAAACCGCCCTGGAAGCTTATTAAAAATGCCAAATACCCCGCCACACCCCCCAAGAGCCTGGGTGTAATAGGTTGGAGTGGGACTCGGGTGTTGGTATTTAAAAAAAAAAAAAAATTCCCCAGGTGATCCTAATGTGAAGGCAGGGTTAGGAACCGCTGCCCTCGTCCGTCTGTTTGCTGTGAAGATTACATAACGTGAGAGACATGAAATGCTTTGTTAACAGAGACTGCCCTGCCACAGTCCACCTCGCTATGGCCAATCCTGTCTTTCAGTTTGTTTGTTTGCTAATCCTCACCTGAGGATATTTTTTCCATTGATTTTTTAAAAAAATATATTTTTAGCCCTAGCCGGTTTGGCTCAGTGGATAGAGTGTCAGCCTGCGGACTCAAGAGTCCCAGGTTCGATTCCTCGTCAAGGGCATGTACCTTGGTTACGGGTATATCCCCAGTAGGAGGTGTGCAGGAGGCAGCTGATCAATGTTTCTCTCTCATTGATGTTTCTAACTCTCTATCCCTCTCCCTTCCTCTCTGAAATGAATAAAATATATATATTATTGATTTCAGAGAGGAAGGGAGAGGGAGAGATAGAAACATCAATGATGAGAGAGAATCATTGATCAGCTGCCTCCCACATACCCCCTATTGGGGATCGAGCCCGCAACCCCGGGCATGTGCCCTGACTGGGAATCGAACCCTGACCTCTTGGTTCATAGGTTGACACTCAACCACTGAGCCACACCAGCTGGGCTCCATTGATTTTTAGAGAGAGTTGAAGGGAGAGAGAGGAAACATCGATGTGAGAGAGACACATCAGTGGGTTGCTTCTTGCAAGCACCCCGACAGGGGATGGAACCTACCACCCAGGTACGCACGCTTGACCAGGAATCAAACCCTGGGCCTTTTGGTGTGCCAGGTGAGGCTCTAACCACTGAGCAACCTCGGCCAGGGCTCCTCGATCCCGTCTTATTCTCAGAGGCAACCTGGCAACATGGTAGAGCCTGGAGCTGGACCGCTCAGGTCCACCGTGTCCAACTGGGTGGCCTTGGTCACGGAACTTGACCTTTCTGTGCCTCAGTTTCTTTATCTATAAATGCTTTAAAATTGTGAAGACGTATTGAGACAATATGCATGTTTTTATGTAAGCTGTGTTGTGTTCATCAGTTTTTATCTCCTCGAAGTAATGTATTATGTTTACAATCTGCTACCCTAATTTTTTTTCAGCCACCCCCATGAGATAATATATTTTAGAGAGCCTCATATATGCTTAATAAATGATAGTTCATGCCCAGCCGGTGTTGCTTAGTGGTTGAGTGTCGACCCATGAACCTGGAGATCCTGGTTCCATTCCCCGGCATGGGTGTGCAGGAAGCAGCCAATCGACCATTCTCTCTCATCATTGATATTTCTTTTCTTTTAAAAAAAATATATTTTATTGACTTTAGAGAAGAAGGGAGAGGGAGAGAGAAATAGAAACATCAATGATGAGAGGGAATCATCGATTGGCTGCCTCCTGCACACCCCCTCCTGGGGATCAAGCCTGCAACCCAGGCATGTGCCCTTGGCCGGAATCGAACCCGGGACCCTTCAGTCCACAGGCCAATGCTCTATCCATTGAGCCAAACCAGCTAGGGCTCATCATTGATATTTCTATCGCTCCCTCTCTCTTCCTAAGTAAGTAAATACATACATAAATAAATGTTAGCTTGTATTGTATTAAATTTCTCTGGGCCTCGGTCTCCTTTTAGATAAAATGGGGACAATAACAGACTCTACCCGGGTGAGGAAGAGGAGATGAATTCATGTAGGGCAGACACTTAGTGTTTTTCCATATTCAGTGGTTCTACCTATCATTACAGACCCACTTCCCTTTCTCGGAGGACCCTGGATGCCCACTCCAGGGGAGAATTCATAATTCTTTCTACTTTAGGGAAATAATAAGATACGTCTACCATACAATATCCTGGGGCACCCCCACTGGGGTCCGAGGCAGTCCTGGTAACCCCAATAATTTATAATTTGGCAACTAAGTGTGGGCATGGTCCCAGGGCGTGGCATAAAGATTATGAACAGCCAGCCCCACGTTCATTCAAGGCAGGGCGCTGCCGCCAGCTCCCGCCCCAGCCATGCCCCGCCAGGCAGGGGGCACTCACGTAGATGAGGCCGGAGTAGTAGCGCTCGCGGAGGTTGTGCAGCACCGAGGCCTCGTTGAGGCAGGTCAGCTCGGCCATGTCCTCGGCTTTGCTGAACTTGGGCGGGTTCATGCGCTGGACATGGTCCCGAGGCAGCCGCAGCCGCCGTCCGCTCTCCGCCAGCTCCACCTCGGCCTCTTCCTCGCCCTCATCTCGCAGCACCGCCGCCTCGAACCCGTGCAGCTCCGAAGGCACCCACACCAGGCGCCGCGCGGTCCACTCCGGGGAGGTGGCCAAGCCCCCAGGCCCGACACCCAAGCTTGGCCCATGGGCTGTGAACAGGTAGGGCTGGGCCGCCTCGGGCACCGGGCCCGTCCTGGGGGGAGCCTTCCGCCCGGGCACCGTCATGGTCACTGCTGCCATGGTCTGCAGGGGAAGAGAAGAGGATGGAGGTCATGTGGGGGCTCCAACTCCCCCCAAACCTCCCCCCAGGCAGTCCCCACTGTCTTTCTTCACCGGACCTCTTTTTATACTTCTGTAAAATGGGTCCACAGACCTCTTAGTTCATTTATTCACCTCTTCATTCATTCATTCATTCATTCATTCATTCATGTATTCAATAATTATAGAATAAGTCAGCCTGTGAGCCAGGCACTGTTCAAGACTCTGGTCATGTGGCAACGAACATGCCAGAAAAAGACCCCTGACTTTATAAGGCGTTTACATTCTAGCCCTGAGCTGTCCAATACGAAGCCACCGCACCATGTGGCTACTGGGCACATGAATGCCGCAGTGGGACTGAGGAAATAAATTTTTAATTGTATTCAACTTTAATTAAATTTAAATATAAATAGCCCCATGTGGCTACAGGGCACTTGAAAGGGAGAATCCAAACGGAGATGAGGTTCTAAGTATACACCATATATACCAGATTCCTAGCTGATGACACACTGCAATAATATTTTGGAGATACTGAGTATTTAAAAAATATATCTTTAACATTAATTTTTACTTTAAAAAAAAATTCCTCACCCAAGCCCTGGCCCATGTGACTCAGTGGTTACCAGAGGGTCCTGGGTTCGAATCCCAGTCAAGGGCACGTACTTGGGTTGCAGGTCTGATCCCTGCCCCCAGTCGAGGTGGGATGGGGAGGCAACCAATCGGTGTGTCTCAGTCACATCGATGCTTCTCTCTCTCCCTCTCTCTCCCCCTCCCGGCTCCCTTCCACTCTCTCTAAAAATCAATGGGGGTGGGATCCTCCCTCAAGATATGTTTATTGATTTTAGAGAGAGGAAAGGAGATAGGAAGAGAGAGAGAGAAGAAACATTGATCGGTTGAATCCAAAACCTGGGTATGTCTTCTGACCGGGAATAGAACCTGCCACTTCACAGTGTACGGGACAATGCCTCAACCAACTGAACCGCCTGGTCAGGGCTAACATTAATTTTTAGTTTTAAAAAAAGTTTAATGATGCTACTAGAAAATTTTAAATTATACATTTGGCTTGCATTATGTTTCTATTGAATGGTGCTGCTGCAATCCCAGGAGACAGATAAAAAGATAAATAATTATATAGTATGTTAAATAATGAGAAATGCCCAGGGGGAAATAAGGCAGGGAACGGTGGATGCTAGGATTGAGAGATGTAGCAGTTTTTAATTGGAAGAGAGGCCAGGGCAGGTCTCTCTGATGTGGCATTTGAACATAGACCTCAGGGGGAATGAAGGGAGCAAGTCATGGGAATGTCAGGAGGAAAGCATGCCAGGCTGGGAGAGCAGCCCGTGCAAAGGCCCTGGGGCAGGAGTGGACCTGTATGTCTGGCATTGCAAGAGGCCAGGGAGGCTGGAGTCTAGTAATGGAGGGGGAGAGGGTGGTAGGTGAGGTAAGACTGGGGGAGAAGCGGGCCAGGGCAGGTCAAGACGAAGAACTTGACCTCTTAGCTGGGAGCCCTGGAAGGGTGTCAATCTGATGTCTGTGTCTCAGGTACCCAGACTACACCTTGGTCTGCCCCATGACTGCAGAACAGACTCGAAACTCCACCTCAGTTAACAGCGCCTTCCTTCTCTGTACAATGGGGAGACTGGCCCCATTCATTCCCTAGGCCAGTGGCCGGCAAACTGCGGCTCGAGAGCCACATGCGGCTCTTTGGCCCCTTGAGTGTGGCTCTTCCACAAAATGCCACGTGCGGGCGCGCACGTACAGTGCGATTGAAACTTCGTGGCCCATGCGCAGATGTCGGTATTTTGTGGAAGAGCCACACTCAAGGGGCCAAAGAGCCGCGTGTGGCTCGCGAGCCGCAGTTTGCTGGCCACTGCCCTAGGCCAAAGAGTCTGGGGGCCCTGAGACCAGTTGGCGAAGCCTTGAGGAGCTCCTAGTGATTCGGTTCTAGTCTCAGACGGTCACAACCCAACTGATCAATAAGGGAGGCACTGGATGAGCCAAAACGAGCTAGGTCCCTCAGCGCCCTCAGAGGAGCCACAGACCAGTAGTGAACAGACCACAGCAATTCCGGAACTAAGCACCATCAGGGAAAACACGCTCCCGTCACTCGATGCGCCCTCCTCCTGAAGAAGGAGCCTCTATTCCAGTGGTTCTCAACCTTCCTAATGCCGCGACCCTTTAATACAGTTCCTCATGCTGTGGTGACCCCCAATTTCATTGTTATAAATTGAACATAATTAAAGCCTAGTGATTAATCACAAAAACAATATGTAATTATATATGTGTTTTCCGATGGTCTTAGGTGACCCCTGTGAAAGGGTCGTTCGACCCCCAAAGGGGTCGCGACCCACAGGTTGAGAACCGCTGCAGTCTATTCTTTTCCGCCGCCTCAGACATCCGCATCGCCCTACCACCCCAGTCACAGGAACATCTGTCTCCCCCACCTTGGTGCTTCTGCCTCTGCCCTCCAGGGCACCCGCCTCCAACATACCCCTGGAGAAGTCCCTTCGAACACCCAGCGCCTCTGGAGGCACCCCCAGATCTGGTCCCCCATCAGGCTCGCCTCTTTCCTGCAGAGCCTTTGCCCCTGGCCCACTGCCTCCCAGACCCTGGCCTCTCCTGCCCGCCCAGCGCCCGCAGTCCCCACCCATGGCTATGCTTGCTCCCGATGCTCTGGGGCCTCAAACCCGGGGCCCCCCCGCACTCAAACAGGGTCCCACCACCAGCGGATGGCGTTTCTCCACCTCCCAGGCCCCAAATTGCCAAGGCTAAGCCCAGGCCTCCAGAGTGGCCCCGTTCCACCTGTAGCCCAGCCCATCCCTGGGACTTTACCCCCACCTTCACCCTACCCCGCCTCACCCACTTCCTCTCCAGCCCTCGGCCTTTGACCAGGAAGGGTTTGGGAGTTTTTGCAATGACCCAGGCCTGTATTTTCCCTCCCTAGAGCCAGGAGTCCAGGCTCCCAGCACCCAGGACCAAGAAATCTAAAACCTCAGCCCCCTCCTCCCTTAGCCCCAGGAGTCCAGGGCCCCTCACCTCATTGCGGTGGTGGGGGGGGGGGTGGGGGATAGCGGTGAGGATGCCTGGGGCTGATTCTGACAGCCCGGCCAGGCGTGGCTGCAGGCCTCAGCCCCAGCCCCTCTGGCAGCCCCACCCTCTTCTGCCGGCAGGAACTCAGCCCCAGCCCCTCCGGCAGCCCCACCCTCTTCTGCCGGCAGGAACGCCTCTGCCCCGGCTCATTACTGTCACCAGGGCAGGTGAAAGCACCTGCCCTGGGAGGGGCAGAGACTGCTGGGCTAGAAAAGGAAAAGGAGCCAGGGATCCGCCCCTGGGGCAAGGGTTGGGGCTCTTGGCATCCAGCCCTCTGACCTCAGCAGAATGCTAGTATTCAGGAGCCCCTCTTCCCCCAGACCCAGAAATCTGGGATCTCAGCCCCTCCGCCCTCAGACCCAGGAGTCCAGGCCCCCACCCCTCCTCCCTCAGACCCAGCAGTCCAGGACCCCAGCCCCTCCTCCCTCAGACCCAGGAGTCCGGGCCCCCAGCCCCCTCCTCCCTCAGACCCAGGGGTCCCGGGCCCCAGCCCCTCCTCCCTCAGACCCAGGAGTCCGGGCCCCCAGCCCCCTCCTCCCTCAGACCCAGGGGTCCCGGGCCCCAGCCCCTCCTCCCTCAGACCCAGGAGTCCGGGCCCCCAGCCCCCTCCTCCCTCAGACCCAGGGGTCCCGGGCCCCAGCCCCTCCTCCCTCAGACCCAGGGGTCCAGGCCCCCAACCCCTCCTCCCTCAGACCCAGGAGTCCTACCCCCAGAACCCGAGTCCTGGCCTGAGCGCCTTTCTCCCTCAAGACCTGGGAGTCCCGGGCTCCCAGCGACGTCCTTACTCAGATCCAGGAGTCCTGGCCCCCAACCCCCCTCCTCGGAACCAGGATTCCGGCACCCAACCCTCATTTCCCTGAGACCCAAGCGTGCGATCGCCGCCCCCCCTTACCCCGCGGATCTTCGGCACTACCTGGGGGCGCCGGCGGGAAGCGGGAAGATGGGGCGGGGGCGCGGGA